CCAAACATGAAGTTAAATCATGAAAATATGGAGCAGGATCAGTCAGCCTTCGCCTACGTAACCCCAGGTGAAAATGTGAGGTGCATGGCTGTGTTTCACAGAAAGCTTTTACAAACAGAACTTGGGTAAGACACCTTATCCTAATTACTCTGAAACTCTTGTACATTCTTCAGGAAGGTAGCAATAAGTTACTATCAGGAGACCCAGGATGTCCACAGGGTGAGAAACACAACAAAAAAATAAACCTAATAAAAAGTTTTACCTTGAGAGATTGACATTAAGTTAATTTACAAATACGACTGCATTGTCATGCAGTGTGCTATATTGTAACTATATTGATGGGCTTATTATCAGACAGGGGCTTAGGGTTGGATACAGTGGGTAATTAACATCCTGAGGACTCCTAATATCTCTGTGAAAAGAGTGGCCTGTGGCCTATCAGGCAATGGATGCTAAATGAGCAGAAGTATAGACAAAGGAATAGATGCCTGACGCTGAAGCAATGGATGTCAGATGGACACAAGGACTGACAAAGGAATAGAAGCCTGAGGATGAAGCAATGGATGTCACATGGACACAAGGACTGACAACGTAACTAATGCCTGAGGCTGAAGCAATGGATGTCAGATGGACACAAGGACAGACAACAGAATTGAAGCCTGACGCTGAAGCAATGGATGTCAGATGGACGTAAGGACTGACAAAGGAATAGATTCCTGAGGCTGAAGCAATGGATATCAGATGGACACAAGGACTGACAACAGAATTGAAGTCTGAGGATGAAGCAATGGATGTCAGATGTACACAAGGACTGACAACGTAACTAATGCCTGAGGCTGAAGCAATGGATGTCAGATGGACACAAGGACAGACAAAGGAATAGATGCCTGACGCTGAAGCAATGTATGTCAGATGGACACAAGGACAGACAAAGGAATTGAAGCCTGACGCTGAAGCAATGGATGTCAGATGGACACAAGGACAGACAACGGAAGTAAAGCCTGACGCTGAAGCAATGGATGTCAGATGGACACAAGAACTGACAACGGAAGTAATGCCTGATGCTGAAGCAATGGATATCAGATGGACACAAGGACTGACAAAGGAACTGAAGTCTGAGGCTGAAGCAATGGATGTCAGATGGACACACGGACTGACAAAGGAATAGATTCCTGAGGCTGAAGCAATGGATGTCAGATGGACACAAGGACTGACAAAGGAATAGATTCCTGAGGATGAAGCAATGGATGTCAGATGGACACAAGGACTGACAAAGGAATTGATGCCTTAGGCCTAACAAAGTCAATGCTAAATGGACACAAGGACAGACAATGCAATTGATGCTTGAGACCTATTGCAAATGACAAAGACTGTGAAGGTCATTCAATATGAGCCTAATTACTCTTTAAACTAATCTGGTTCAAGCTTTTAATATGTCAGATTTGCAAAATTTAGGCTCCTGACATTAATTTTTGCTGAAGAAACTTATTACTACTGTATACAAAATCACACTTTAAATGGAATGACTTTCAGAACAGCTTTGAAGGTGAACTATCTACTGATTAACAAGAAGCTCCAGAAACATGAAAGTAATAGACATGGTTTACATATCGCATCCAAATACCCAAATACTTTACAGGTTACCCTACAAGGGTTAAGCCAGAATGGCAATAAAAATTGTTCAAAAAAAAAAAAAAGAGACAGAAAAAAAAAATTCATTAATGCAACTGGCATAAAATCATTATTCAGTATAGCATTTGTAGTAGTATTCTAATAAAATATGTAAATAGATTTACTCCATGTTTGTGCCAGGTAAACATTTACAATGACTAATTAAATCAGCTGTCCCACCTTAACGATATGAAACTTCAGGTGTATCTATACAATCTCCAATGGCCGACAGATTACAGGTGTAAATGACACATTTACAACATAAATAGGATCATTTGATTTTTTTTGTTTTGAACATTTTGTCAAACAGATACATGATAATTTAGCCTCAATAATGGCGATGCATTATTGATGGATAGTTGAGTTTCCCAGCCCAGCCATAGCTTTCATCACCAAGGGGCTGACACATCTTGGAGACAGAATGTCATGGTTGATGAACCGTGAAATTAGCCTGGTTAATTAAGACTTGTTTGGTCCCACATCAATGATAAATGAATGTGTTACATATCTGATGGTGTGATGGACATTTTATATATCCTCATTACAAGACAGGTTCAACTTTAAATCATCAATGGGTTAGTGGGAAAGAAGTTTTGTTTAAGATTCTCACAACATTCCAGGTGATATGAAGACCGTATCGAAAAAGAGAACATTTACTACAAGTCACACTTGCATAACAAAATTGTTATGTATTTTTGAAATTGTTTAAGTATTTCTAAGAATTCATAACTTCGTTGCTACACTTGAACCTCCCAAGTCTGTGAGTATAACTGGTTGGTTCCATTCTTAAAACCTTCCCAGGCACCTAATATCACCCAATAATCGTGACCCGAATGTGAATGAGAAATCATGCTATTCACTACACCAAGTACAAACAAGAAAAATCTTGTTTTCGAACTCTTGAACTGTATGTCCTCTTCATAACCTTATCATGTCTTTACCTAAATTTGAAAAAAAAAACATCATTTGCTGTGCAATCATTTTTCAAAGTTGATCTATTTAGCACTTGCAACTAAATAGAGTTTAAAAGACGCAAGAAAGATGTCATCGCAGCTACTGATGGGATGATAATTAGATATAATCAATACCATAATCGTTTAACCTCATCTGATGTGATGATTGATTTCAATTTTTCGTAATCGATTATTGGTGCTGTAATATCATCTTCAGATTTAGCAAAAATAAACAAAATTCATAGTTTATAGTCACAAAAAGAAAATAATACTGAAATGGACAATCCATTCATTTTCCATGAATACTGAAAGCACAGCCAGTCAATTATGCAATTAACTACATCACACAGTCAATCCAATTTTAACGGATAATGGAATATGGATTTTAACCAATCTTTAATGGAATAAGGATTTTAACCAATCTCCCATTATTAATTGCAACAATAAACAAGTTCAATTATTCTTTTTTAAAAAGTGTGAGAAAACTGTATGTGTTTTCTTAAAAGCAACAAAAAGGATGCAAGACATTTGACAATACAGATTGACCTCTGAGACATCAGACTTTTAAAGATTGACCTCTGAGACATCAGACTTTTAAAGATTGTCCTCTGAGACATTTGACTTTAAAGATTGACCTCTGAGACATTTGACTTTAAAGATTGACCTCTGAGACATTTGACTTTAAAGATTGACCTCTGAGACATCAGACTTTTAAAGATTGTCCTCTGAGACATTTGACTTTAAAGATTGACCTCTGAGACATTTGACTCTAAAGATTGACCTCTGAGACATTTGACTTTAAAGATTGACCTCTGAGACATTTGACTCTAAAGATTGACCTCTGAGACATTTGACTTTAAAGATTGTCCTCTGAGACATTTGACTCTAAAGACTGTCCTCTGAGACATTTGACTTTAAAGATTGACCTCTGAGACATTTGACTCTAAAGATTGTCCTCTGAGACATTTGACTTTAAAGATTGACCTCTGAGACATTTGACTCTAAAGACTGACCTCTGAGACATTTGACTTTAAAGATTGACCTCTGAGACATTTGACTCTAAAGATTGACCTCTGAGACATCAGACTTTAAAGACTGACCTCTGAGACATTTGACTCTAAAGACTGACCTCTGAGAAATTTGACTTTAAAGATTGACCTCTGAGACATTTGACTCTAAAGACTGACCTCTGAGACATTTGACTCTAAAGATTGACCTCTGAGACATTAGACTTTAAAGACTGACCTCTGAGACATTTGACTCTAAAGACTGACCTCTGAGACATCAGACTTTAAAGACTGACCTCTGAGACATCAGACTCTAAAGACTGACCTCTGAGACATTTGACTCTAAAGATTGACCTCTGAGACATCAGACTTTAAAGACTGACCTCTGAGAAATTTGACTTTAAAGATTGACCTCTGAGACATTTGACTTTAATGACTGACCTCTGAAACATTTGACTTTAATGACTGACCTCTGTCCTGCATAATTTTTAGTCTTGCTGTATGAGGTGTTTAAGTAAAAGTTTCAAGTGTGAATATTTTCATAATTTTTGAACTGACAGCAAAGTATGATTGCCCTGCAATTAAAAATGAGGTATGTGCAACATTTAGTTTGAAATGTGACAAATGTTCACAATATCAGTGAAATACTGCAATTTTCAAATGTTTAATCGTGCTGTTTAAACAGGCATAAAAATGTTACATCAAAAGCTGTGCATACAATGTTTGTCAGTATCGTGTAAACCCTTATCCCAAATAAAAGGTTTAGATGAAATAACACGTCCCGATATAATCACGGCTTCATGGCTGTATTCTAACACTCGAGTGTCAAGAAAGCTTCCTGATGATGAGAAATGAGCCAACCACGTAAACATTTACACAACTTGTATTCTATATCACATCACATATACATATAAACAAACGTTATATCAAATAGCAAGACATTTTTATTTACAGATTTCACCATACCAGATTCAGTATTAGTGTTTGTAATTTTCCACTGGCTATAATGACAAGGAAACACCCCTGACAGTGTTTTCAACATCATATAGTCTTAATTAGGGATAATGACCATTTCTCTCTAGGAGAAAACTTCCAAACTCATTTCTTCAGCAATATGTATGTATATCGACTATGTGACAGCCACATCTCATATCAATCTGTGACAAAATTGATTGATTTTTTTTTTTTAATTTGGATCAAAATATTTCAACAAGTATACTATATTATATAGTGAATCATTTCATTTTTACGATAACTTGCTTCACAATATTTAATCTAACAAGGACTAACGAAGATTTTAATTGGATTTACAATATTTTTTCCTTTTAACTTTGCACTTACAACCCCCTCCCCCATCCCCTTCCCCTAATCTAGACAATCATCTTTCCAAAATAAGTACATTAATGTAAATAAACATTGCAAAATTTACATAACCTGCAGTATCATGTATGAATGTTGAATTATTTCTAAACAGCAACAAGAACATTTATCACTGTTTGATATTACATGCTAGATCTGTCTTCAGATGTTTGACTTTACATACCTCTGCCTAAGAATGACATCACAATCGATAAAGCACTCATTTTTTTTTTTTACAACCAAAAGAAAACATTTGAATGGATGCACTTTAATGTTTTCCTCGTGCCAGTCATAGTTAGAATAACAATGACTTAAACAGTCCACAGAGTTCCACAGACTCGGACAGAATGCTACAAAGTCCATGGTGTTTACACCAAAGAAAAGCAATATTACTTCACAAGGGCCACCTAACAGACGTCAACAACCACAGACAGGCCAAGGTCATTTTCAGTAAAAAAAAACATTATTTCTTTCAGAATACAATAAAATGAAAGAAAAAAATATTATTGTCATCTAGCAACAAATATAACTTTGACAACTACAAGCAGAGCTGGTAAAAAAACTCAGACCATTGTTTGTTGAATCTGTCAAACCTTGGATGTTGGATATCGGCATCTTGATTGACGCTTAAGATTCCCAAGGAATGAGATCAAGATGGAATATATAAAATTGTCATTCTGAAAGCAGAACAGTTATCATATTTTCCTTTTTCCTTCATAAACTGTTTTTGTAGCGTGGGGCACTTGTGACTTTGAAAATTCAACTGGACAAAAACAATAACTGGACCTGCTCGCCCCCTCCCACCTCAAGATTCTCAAATTAAAAAAATGTAATTTACTAAAGTATCTTTTGTATCATGATCCCAGACCTAATTATCACAGGTCATAGCTACATATAATGTGACCTTGAACATAGGTCAAGGTAAATATAGACTACACAAATCTGTTATCCTTCTATAACAGGGACCACTTAAAATAAATGACTCCCGTATCAAGTTTCTTACATCTGACCCCTGTGAACTTGAAACATTATCAAGTATTACTAAAAATACATCCAACACCTCCAGAGTAAACCATGTCATGACACTAGGTGTTATGGTTTTGTAGTAGAAGATGTTTGTTAACATGCAGAAGAGATGCAAGACTATTGCATCAGCTCATAGGCACTTTGCACCAATTGAGCTTGTAACAGATTTGTCCATTGGTAGCTTTTCTCGGCATTGATGATGGTTGTCATCACTTCCGCCAAAACCAGTTTTTTTTCGAGTCCTGACTCGTAGCAACAGCTAACCTTCGCTGTTTTTCTTCCTGAAATAGACAGATTATGTTTTCATTTATGACTAAACCAAAGCATTTATGAGATTTTTCAAAAATGCATAATGAATATTTATAGCCAATATCATGTTGCACTGATCACCTTAGACTATAGCACTCAACTTGTTGTCATCAACATGAAAAATGTTTTATCATTATTTTTTTTTTTTTTCATGTTCCGATAAGGAATTCTGAATGATGCAACAAAACTTTAGATAATGACATGATCTAACACTCCAATCACACCGTGTGACACCATGACCTTATTGTAAAATGGAGGATTACCAGTTAATGATGGCAATTATAATACTGTAAATACATATATGACAGTAATAAGTTTATTCCAGTGCTTTTCAATCTGAAAATACTGCAGTAAACTATGACTGCACTAATGCAGTAGCAGAAGCTTTATTAGTGCAATCAATTTTTAGTGCAACAATTTCAGTGAAAAAAGTGCTAACATAAGATTACTGCTACAATATTTATAATGTTATGGAAGTGCTACAATATTTATAATGCTATGGAAGTGCTAATTTAGCAAAAGGTGATACATTTAAAATGTGCTTAAATTCTATTTCACGAAAACAAAGTATGCTTATATTACAAAGGTTTATAAGAAAAAAAACAGCATCATAATCTTACATTGCCTTTTTAATTTTCATGCATAACCATTCTTGTTTAAGACAACAGTATAAAATATATAGTTCAGATTTTAAAATATTTGCAGATTGTTATACATTTTTTTCTGTTAATTTTTTGTCTAGATTTACAACCTGAAAGCCTAGATTTTTGCATTGTTAATAGTTCCAGCATTCTATCGTGTAAGGTCGGAGATAACATTGACGGTCACCTAGGGTGACCAGGGGTCAGTTTATCCTCATTATATCTGTAAATGACAAGTCAACAGAACTCGAGTTGTAAATGTATCTGTTTATTTTGCCAACTGGGAGATGACATCACAAACCGTAGTCAAGGAAGTATGCTGATTAAAACACATCATTTATCATTAATGGAAACAACAAGTTTGTTTATCTAACCGTCAGTGAGCTTCACTCTTTAACCAATGAATATTGAATAGGATGTAATCTTGATGGATCAACAATATAACGATCAATTAAAATTGGGTGTAGTGCACTTTGTGAGAATCACTTTCAAAATATTTTAATGGTTCAAGTTAACCATGTTGATACTAAGTTAATGAATCATAAGGTTATTTAATATCAAAATCAATTAAAAAAAAATAAAAAAAAAAAATTTTCAAAATCATAATTTCGTACGGTAATGATTCATCCACATTTTTTCTACTATAGCAAGGGGGATAACTCTTATAATTACCAACCATTTCATGTAAGTTTTTTTCCCCAACTAACACTCTTCTGCAGATAAAAACCTCCAAGGTCATGAAATAGAATATTGTTGCACGTCAAGGTTAGACAAATATTACACCAGATCAATAACAAACTACTAGTAAACACAAGCCTAGCAATGTTGTTAAATAGCTACTTTTAGTCTGTTTCTCTGAAGTATCATTTCTTCACATTAAATATTTCTGGATAATAGGAATTATCAATTCTTATCTTTTTCTTTCAAGAAGTGATATAACAAAAGACACCATGACATGTTTTTGGCACATTTCTGACAGGACTGTTTTTGTTGTTGTTGTTGTTTATCTGCAAATAAACTTGCCATCATAACAAAAGCACCACCTATGATATCATCATATAAGGGTATATAGCTAAATAATGTTTACCACTTCTCACAACAACCACCTCTGTCATGGTACAAGTGATGACAATATTGAGATTTCCCTTCTGCTGGTGATGCAGTTTAAAGTTTCTTCATTAAGTTAATATGACACACTGTGTCCTTCCACTGTAGGCTGTGCCAATTTATTTCTTTTTCAGAACATAATTCAACTACAAACATTTCACAACAAATGTCTTGTTTAGCCTCTTATGCTCTGTCTATGTCTCCACCAATACATTGCCAAACCTCTTCATAACAATTCAACTGTTTTGTAAAGCAGAGACAGTGTCACAAATGTCTTATTTTCACACTACAAATCTTGTGTCACATTCTTAGGGACGGGATTCTGGTTTAGAGAACTGTGGTTGAGTTCATTTGTCCTCCTAGGATGGGGCCTTTATCTCTTTTTTTGAGTTTAAAAGTAAGTTGAGAATTTTGAAAATTGTGTGCAAATACATGTAAAATGACAATTTACAATTGGATTTTGGTCCGTCATCAGCCACATAAAAAGTCCTCTACAGTTAATTTTGAAATCAAGTGAGCAAACAAAACCTTTTTCTGTTGAAATCATATTGTTTCCTGTACAGAAGAAATCGCTGCGGAGCAAGTGTGTTCTAGGTATCCTGAAATGTTTCTATTGATTTTATTTGTTTTCAAATAGTGAGCAGTTAATCAGCCCCAAATCACAGAAAGACCAAAAAAAAAAGAGAAATCTTTCCTGTTGGTGATAAAAACCCTAAAAGAATTCTATTGATATTTTGACAGCAAGGGGATCTCCCCTTCAAAAATCTACATACACATGTAGTATTAAGGTCATTAAAAACACGTGAAACTTATCACTACAGTTCTTAAAAGTGCATTGGTATATAAAATTGTCTTCTAATAAATAACAGGTGTAAGTTTTGTATAATGATGTGTATGTCGTCAGTTGTCAGAAAGTAGAAATGTACCTACCTCTAGTTTTCTTTGGTTCTCCTTGAAAGCTTCCATAGGATCATCAAACTTGGCATAGTACTCCATCACAGTCCTTACATCCTCCACACCACTGGATCCAACAACTGTAAACAACAGACAACATCAATTATCCAGCCATCCACTGTAAACAACAGACAACATCAATTATCCAGCCATCCATTGTAAACAACAGACAACATCAATTATCCAGCCATCCATTGTAAACAACAGACAACATCAATTATCCAGCCATCCATTGTAAACAACAGACATCAATTATCCAGCCATCCATTGTAAACAACAGACAACATCAATTATCCAGCCATCCATTGTAAACAACAGACAACATCAATTATCCAGCCATCCATTGTAAACAACAGACAACATCAATACTCCAGCCATACACTGTAAACAACAGACAACATCAATACTCCAGCCATACACTGTAAACAACAGACAACATCAATACTCCAGCCATACACTGTAAACAACATCAATTATCCAGCCATCCACTGTAAACAACAAACAACATCAATTATCCAGCCATACACTGTAAACAACAGACAACATCAATTATCCAGCCATCCACTGTAAACAACAGACAACATCAATTATCCAGCCATACACTGTAAACAACAGACAACATCAATTATCCAGCCATACATTGTAAACAACAGACAACATCAATTATCCAGCCATCCACTGTAAACAACAGACAAGTTATCAAACCATTGTCCGTAATGGAAACCACAACAACAATGACAACAACTTTCTGAGAGACTTGTTTACCCTAGTTGTGTTTCTAGTTGTGCTGCTATCAAATTCTTGTGACACAATTTTTTGGAAATCATTGGTGAAAGTTGGATGTAAACTACAATTTTGTTTGCTGAAGATGCTGTTACCCGGAGATGTACCTACATAGGGTTTTGTATATGTATCTAAACAGATCTTAATCTATGACAACTTAAAATCATTCTAAGTGTTGAAGGAGAAGAAATGTCACTGTGACCTAATTTCTCATTGTCTACTCTGTTAACAAATATTACACGTCACCTGATTGATGATCCAAGAACTCATTCATTTGGAGTTCATGTTAAAAATACAAGTCAAAGAGAATTTCCTAAAACTAAAATTGGTGATTCAAGGTGAAGCAGTTTTGGAGATATATAGAAAGTGACTGGATGGAAGATGAAATAAAGGACAAATTGATTAATGCGGTAATATATGAAACTGTAACACCTTTCTTGGATACCAGTTTTGTTTCTTCTGCACCTTGTGTTCGGTTTTAAGTAGAAAACTGGACAGATTGTGATTATGTTTAATAGTGTTCGTTAAATTGTAACCATGGTGACAAGAAAATCGCTTGTCCCATATCTACCCACTAATTGTTGTAAGAGCCTATCTTCTGTACAGCTATCACTGGTATGTCAGTAAGTGATTACGATAGCTAACAGGGAGGTCACTGTATGCATTACTTTTTCCGTATGTAAAATTGATGAGTTGACAACTCCCAGCATCCCCCACAACGTTGACATCACACCACATATGATTGGTCATATTTGAATTATTAACATTATCTACCTCATCCTAACACCTTTGGTAGCCGACAGTGATAACCAATATTGATTCCAACATTTCCTATAGGGCGAGGGATATTGCGTAAATCACCCCAAGATATGATACAAACATCACAGAACCTTGCCTTGTTGCCTTGGATACCTGGACACACCCCTATCTTCCGGCCCATAGTGTAATTTGCTTTTATCTTCACCCGGTGGCCTCTTTTCAACCAGCAATCAGTTGATTGCATATCTGCTAGAACATTATGTAACAGTGCATCAGGTTGCAATTAATTGTATTGTGCACCGCTGCGCATCTATCACCTGCATAATGCATGCACTCGAGGTGATTAATCTGGTCCCTGGCGACCAAAGCGAGGCTGTGTTTATTGTTGGCCATTGAGATTTTATTTGTTGTGTTCACACCTGCCTAACAACGAGGATCTGGAGGCTGAACCCACAGTGAGCTCAACAACCAGGACTTGGACACTCAAAACACTAACACACTCATCACTCTAAAAACATGACTCTAGACCTAGTGCTTTTCCAAAACACCTTTAGAACCGTTCGTGCATTTGACTTGCAACCTTGAAAGAGGATGTAATTTTTGTAAACAACAATTTCCGCAAAAGCAAAATACCACCTTAGAGGATTTCAACACATTTGATGTCTGTGACCTTGATTTGTTTGTTTGCGTGGTGTACATTTTGCCTTATCGAGAGTCAGGGTCATTCGGAGGGAATCTTTGCAGTAAACATAAGGCATGCCCATCATGTGTCATCAAGTGCAATTATTATAAAATGTCTTCCCTAAGGACACAGCTATAACAGTACACACCAGTCCATTTCTCAACTTTCTGAGAAACATGTCACCACAGGTACTAAACATCAAACCACACAATTTTGACCTTCATCTGTGAAGGCCAACACTCTACGACTGAACTATTGCATCCCCACTGGATGACATTCTCATGGCCTTTGCTCAAATTTCCTACAGAAATGAAATACAGGTGTGATGTCAATGCATCAGTTGATGATTTTTCGTCACAAGTAATGGTGACCTTGACCTTGGTACATTAAGATATTAACTTACCTTGACCTCGGTACCCTAAAATAACAACTTATCTAAAATATTGTTATTTTTGTATAAAGCAGGGTTTTCCATAATTTTGTTAGTAGTAGGCTGTGTAGTGAATGTAGGAGGCTGGCAAAGCCAGCCAACCCGAGCTGCAACGCTCCAAGGTTGGGGTGGCCTGCCATGTACGTGTAGTCGTGTACGGAACATTATTACGGAACTGGATAGGTGTAGGTGGCCAAATGATCAAAGTAGCCGGTCAAATTGTTCATCTTTTGATGCCAAGCAAATCTATATATGGTTATGGGATTGGGATCTCAACTGTTTCAGAGATATAACCCAGAAATCAAGTCCAGAGAGGTGGAGTTACATGCAAAGGCCAGTTCTTACATCATAAATGTGTTTATCTCTTGATCCCTAACCTCGCTATATATGGTAATGGGGTGGGAATCTCAACCATTTCAAAGAAATACGCTGAGGTGTGGGGCCACACCCCCTTGCCAATTCTCACATCATAAATGTGTTTATCTCTTCCAACCAGGTGTGCTAAGCATTAATCATTTCAAACCAGGTAGCTCGTTGAGGCTTTGATAACTAATCAATTTTTGGCATTCTTAGGGGCAGCTATGTTACTACTATCATACATCGCAACAACAATATAAAATTAATGTATTTACACACATGCTTATTAATGATAAAGGAAATAGAAAACAAACATAATTATCTTCTCATCGAAGTCGATACTCATGCATGGGGCACTCCCCAACCTTGAGCTATCTCAAACTCAATCACTAAAGACAAGGGTTGGGCAATCCTAAGTGGGTGGCTTGGTCAAGAGATTGGGGGTTACCCATGAAAATTGAGCAATCTCAAGCTGTTGAGTAGGTATCTTGAAAATGTAATTTCCCAGACAACCCAAAGCAGGCACTTACATTTATAAGACTCTGACAAAATAGACACCTATATTTACTAGACTCTGACAAGATAGACACCTATATTTACTAGACTCTGACTAGCTAGACACTTACATTTACAAGGCTCTGACAAGATAGACACTTATATTCCCTAGACTCTGACTAGGTAGACACTTACATTTAATAGACTCTGACTAGCTAGACACTTACATTCCCAAGAGTCTGACTAGCTAGACACTTACATTCACTAGACTCTGACTAGCTTGACACTTACAATTACCAGACTCTGACTAGCAAGACACCTTCATTTACAAAAAAACACTGATAAGATAGACACTTACATTCCCTAGACTCTGAATAGGTAGACACTTACATTTACTAGACTCTGACTAGCTGGACAATTACATTCACTAGACTCTGACTAGCTAGAAAATTACATTCACTAGACTCTGACTAGCTAGACACTTACAATTACTAGTCTCTTACTAACTAGACACATACATTTACTAGACTCTGACTAACTAGACACATACATTTACAAGACTATGACTAGCTAGACACTTACATTTACTAGACTCTGACTAGCTAGACACTTACATTTACTAGACTCTGACTAGCTAGACAATTACATTTACTAGACTCTGACTAGCTAGACACTTACATTCACTAGACTCTGACTAGCTAGACACTTACAATTACTAGTCTCTTACTAACTAGACACATACATTTACTAGACTCTGACTAGCTAGACAATTATATTTACTAGTCTCTTACTAGCTAGACACTTTCATTTACAAGACTATGACTAGCAAGACACCTTCATTTACAAAAAAACACTGATAAGATAGACACTTACATTCCCTAGACTCTGACTAGGTAGACACTTACAATTACTAGACTCTGACTAGCTAGACAATTACATTTACTAGACTCTGACTAACTAGACACATACATTTACAAGACTATGACTAGCTAGACAATTACATTTACTAGACTCTGACTAGCTAGACACTTACATTTACTAGACTCTGACTAGCTAGACACATACATTTACAAGACTATGACAAGACTATGACTAGCTAGACAATTACATTTACTAGACTATGACTAGCTAGACACTTACATTTACTAGACTCTGACTAGCTAGACAATTACATTTACTAGACTCTGACTAGCTAGACAATTACATTTACTAGACTCTGACTAGCAAGACACCTTCATTTACAAAAAAACACTGATAAGATAGACACTTACATTCACTAGACTCTTACTAGCTAGACACTTTCATTTACTAGACTCTGACTAGCTAGACAATTACATTCACTAGACTCTTACTAGCTAGACACTTACATTTACTAGACTCTGACTAGCTAGACACTTACATTTACTAGACTCTGACTAGCTAGACACTTACATTTACTAGACTCTGACTATGTAGACAATTACATTTACTAGACTCTGACTAGCTAGACAAATTCCGGAGCAACCTTCACCTTACAACTGAATTGTAACTACTACTAAACAAAACACAAATAACCAGGATTTATAAATATCCTTGAATTAGAGAGGTGATAACTGACAGGTATATACTGTATCTGCTAATATGAATACAAAAGATACTTAAAACAACAATATATACATTGTATGTTATAAATTGGGAGTAAATTTTCTGAACTAGAACTGTCATCGCGGGGCCAACTCATACCCATCCATCGCCAAAAAAAGGGTATAACTTTCCGAAAAGCAGCCATAACTCATCCTGATATAACACATCTACAATGTATAAGGATTACAGCCAGCAAGCACCATTGAAATCAATTCAGTAGTTTAGGAGGAGAAGCCAGTACATCATTGCATCTACGTCCGGATGTCTGGATGAGCAGACAGCAACCTGATTCCAGTATATCCCCCAACCCCCATCCATAAAACCAAATCCAAGGAAAATTACATACAATGAGTGCAGCTGAGTGCCCAAACACATTAAAGGTTGTCAGAAGTTTTCAATACTTTTGAGTCACAGTTATTGAACTTGAAGAAATATCTATGTAGTCCTTCCCCATTACAGTAAGTTATAAATAGAATATCATTATAGCAGGTCATGCATCCTTAACACAAGATATTGTTCAACAGGAGACCATGGAGACTCCATATATGAAAGTTGAGAAAGTTCTTCTAAAGAAATTGTGGTGACAAACTTTCCTTTATCCAATTCAAGATAACAGACTGTACTGAGATGTTGCATTTTCTGATCATTCCAAAAATTGAAAAAGATGAAGGGGAATCTACAGATAATATCTTTAAAGATCCATCGTGAACTTCTCAAAAAATAGCAATAATTAACTTTCATTGTCAAAACTGAAAGACCAGAACACCTCCCCCCCCCTACAAACACAATCTTTGTGGCTACATTGATACATTTTCAGCCTTTGTCAAGCAAACCTTGAATATGCTTTTACTAAAGTGAATGCATTATCTGTGTGTCGGTAGGTTTATAGTGAAAACCTAATGAGTACCTCTGATTGGTTCATGTCACAGGTTCTAACTACATCAGTGTTTTTCCCTAAGACTAATGTTGTAGAAAAGTAGACGGTTATTATTTGATGATCCTAGATAGGTACTAATTGTGTTAATGTCAGCTATCAATTCAGAGTCCCACAATAATACAGAGTACAGTATCATAACATACTGTAACAACTTACTCCAAGCTATATAGCTAATTGTCATCAGGGTAACATCATCACTCTCAATGAATACACGGAGGTGTGTGTCCTCTATATATACCCAATACCTCCCAACACACCTAGAGTCTGTGTAAACACACCAGAATGTCTTATAATACACCTAGTCAGTGTAAACATGTCAGCTGTCTTTAAAACACACTACAGTCAGTGTAAACATGTCAGCTGTCTTTAAAACACACTACAGTCAGTGTAAACATGTCAGCATGTCTTCTGAACACACTACAGTCAGTGTAAACATGTCAGCTGTCTTTAAAACACACTACAGTCAGTGTAAACCTGTCAGCTATCTTTAAAACACACTACAATCAGTGTAAACATGCCAGCTGTCTTTTAAACACACTACAGTCAGTGTAAACATGTCAGCTGTCTTTAAAACACACTACAGTCAGTGTAAACATGTCAGCTGTCTTTAAAACACACTACAGTCAGTGTAAACATGTCAGCTGTCTTTAAAACACACTACAGTCAGTGTAAACCTGTCAGCTGTCTTTAAAACACACTACAGTCAGTGTAAACATGCCAGCTGTCTTTTAAACACACTACAGTCAGTGTAAACATGTCAGCTGTCTTTAAAACACACTACAGTCAGTGTAAACATGTCAGCTGTCTTTAAAACACACTACAGTCAGTGTAAACCTGTCAGCTGTCTTTAAAACACACTACAGTCAGTGTAAACATGTCAGCATGTCTTCTGAACACACTTTTTACATGATATAAAGGATTATGTCCAATGTGTGACCTGGGGATGAACAGGTTAACATTCAGGTGTGACATGAGATGAACAGGTAAACATTCAGGTCTGACCTAGAGACCAACAAGTAACACTCAGGAGGGACTTATCGACAACCCACCTAAAAACAATCTCAAACAAGCCCCTTTGGTCAAGAAGCAATCTCTACAGATCTCAATCCTACTAACAAGCCCAGATGTTCAGCCTATGACTAGGATCTACACAGATCACAATCCTCAAGAGGAACTAAACAGATTTCCATCCTACTTTAAGGAACTACACATATCACCAGTCACTAACAGGACCTACACATATCACCAGTCACTAACAGGACCTACACATATCACCAGTCACTAACAGGACCTACACATATCACCAGTCACTAACAGGACCTACACATATCACCAGTCACTAACAAGACCTACACATATCACCAGTCACAGGACCAACACATATCACCAGTCACTAACAGGACCTACACATATCACCAGTCACTAACAGGACCTACACATATCACCAGTCACTAACAGGACCTACACATATCACCAGTCACTAACAGGTCCTACACATGTCACCAGTCACTAACAGGACCTACACATATCACCAGTCACTAACAGGAACTACACATATTACCAGTCACTAACAGGTCCTACACATATCACCAGTCACTAACAGGACCTACACACATCACTAACAACTAACAGGACCTACACATATCATCAGTCACCAACAGGACCTACACATATCACCAGTCACTAACAGGTCCTACACATATCACCAGTCACTAACAGGACCTACACATATCACCAATCACTAACAGGATACACATATCACCAGTCACCATCAGGACCTACACATATCACCAGTCACTAACAGGACCTCCACATATCACCAGCCACTAACAGGACCTACACATATCACCAGTCACTAACAGGACCTACACATATCACCAGTCACTAACAGGACCAATACATATCACCAGTCACTAACAGGACCTACACATATCACCAGCCACTAACAGGACCAACACATATCACCAGTCACTAACAGGACCTACACATATCACCAGTCACTAACAGGACCTACACATATCACCAGTCACTAACAGGACCAACACATATCACTAGTCACTAACAGGACCTACACATATCACCAGTCACTAACAGGACCAACACATATCACCAGTCACTAACAGGGCCTACACATATGACCAGTCACTAACAGGACCAACACATATCACCAGTCACTAACAGGACCTACACATATCACCAGTCACTAACAGGGCCTACATATATCACCAGTCATTAACAGGACCTACACACATCACCAGTCACTAACAGGGCCTACATATATCACCAGTCACTAACAGGACCTACACATATAACTCTCCACTAACAGGACCTACACATATAACTCTCCACTAGCAGGGTCTCCACATATCACTCTCCACTAACAGGGCCTAAGGAGTTCTTGTATAGGGACATGAACACTTACAGAATATGCAAAACTGGCTTAAGATCAATAATTTTATTCTCTTTGTTGAAAAAATGAAAAAGAAACTTGCAAGAGATTCAAATTAATGGGAAATGAAATGTTTGAAAAAATGAATCAATTATCTTGTCATGCTAAAAGTACAAATAACATTCATTTAATTTATTTCCATTTCATGAATATTGATTTTAATTTTTTTTTTTTTTTATTAAACTGAAAAAAAAGTCACATTGATAGAACAGCTCATGTCAATAAACAGTTTTCAAAATGACAATCATCAATTCATTCCTAAAAATCTGATATTATTACCAGTCTGGAATCTGGAAATACAAGAGGTCCGTATGGCCTGTATTGCTTACTTAAAGCCCAGCAATGATATATATGCCTATAGGTTGGATATTTCAAATACACAATCTATTTCAAAATTAAAGTTCAGTCAATAAACCTCTCTGGGGTAAGACCAACCTATAAATTCTTATATCATGACTGTCTTCTTCTTTTGATTCCTAGTATGAGTTTATGATAAGGTTATCAGGCTGGTATCTCAACTATATAAAAAATATATGTCACAGCAGTAATGTCCCTAGAGGTGTGCCACACCCAAGGGTCAATTCTTACATGACAAATGTGTTTATTTCTTGATGCCAAATATATATATATATGGTTATGGGGTGGGGATTTCAACTGTTCTAAAGATATAACAAAGAAACTACGTCCCTGGGAGTAGGGTCAGACCCCAAAGCCAATTCATGTACATCTATCATGATTGTGTTTATCTTTTAACGCCCTGTAACCCTATACATGATTATGAGATGGGAATCTAAACTGTTTTCAAACACATTTCTCCTATTGAGCCCCTCCTTTCCTGCCCTAGTTGGCTGAGATCCACTATTTATAAAAAAAATTGATTTCTCATCACCCAAAGATGCTTCAGACCAGTTTGGACAAAATCCAATCATTCCTACAGGAGGAGCAGGATTTTAAAGAAAGTGCAAAATTTCTCCTTTTGGGTTCCGCATCAGGCCCTGTACAGCAGGGACACACCATTTATACAAAATGTGTTCCCATCCCTCTAAGGATGCTTCTGACTAAATTTGTTCAAAATCCCCTTGGTTGTTCATGACTAGTAGTCTTTTGTAGAAATAATTGACAAACGTGTACTGACTAGTAGTCTTTTGTAGAAATAGTTGACAAACGGTGTACAACAAACAGTGTAATTGCCAAATTGGAGATATAAAACAGAAAAACCTGTCTTTTAGAACATCATGTTTGAATATTATTGGATATCATGGATGTCATTTGTCATGGAATTCCATTCCTCCGTAAAATAGATATCTAAGTTAGATTTGCGAAAAAGATGTCTTACCTTGTAAAAAGTTAGCAAGGTCTATAAGTGTTTTATCATCGTTATCACCCGTCCACTTCTTCAGCTTGAGACCGTTCCTCAAATGAAATTGGAATGACTTCTCATTGCAGTCAACTATGATGACTTTGGAAAGGTCACGGTTCAGGTAGGACAGGTCCTAAAGAAGAGAGAATGACTAGATTACTCCAAAATCAATTTCAATCAGTCATTTCATTATACATTTTTTTTTGTTTACAAATTATTTTCAAAATGTTTTATTTATCACATGATATTGCATAGCTATCAGCGTTTCCATGGTTATTGACTAGAAAGAAGTCTCTCACCATTTTTCTTTTGCCTTTAAGTATTTTCCGTATCCTGTATGTAAGCACAGTTAGAACATATAGGTAGCAGGTGGTTTCAATATAAATAATTAATTGACAGCTTATCAACAGATAAAATTTTTACTTAATCATCTTGTTAATTTCATATTGTAAAATGTCTTGGTGCTCTAAAATCATAAAATTTTGTGGTAACTTCCAATCAACAAATTCATGTCGCTGAAAGAATAACCAGATCAAAACTGACATCAACTTAAGTACAAGTGGACTTAGTGAGTAAGACACATCCATGAAGTAACGCGCAAACGAAAATGCATGATTTTGTAAAACCACAAAATTTCAGCCTCACAAATACCTATAATTTTACAGTATTATAAAATGTGCTTAATTCATTGTTTTTTTTATTTTTTTTAATAGATTCAATAGATGAAAAAAAATGCCATGCATATATATATATATATATATATCCTAACTAATCATTTTCTTGTCACATGTACATGTAAACAATGATCCAGGGGAAACAACTCTTAAATCTCCAGTCTTCCTGCAACAATTTCAGTTTGCGTTTGCCATGGTACTGTGATATGTCCCCCCCACTCTTCCCCCCCACCCCCTCCTTGTTATGCAGTCTTGCCATATCTGTTAACAGCTGATTCTATTACTCTGTAGTTAAATGAAGCTAATTTTATCAATACCCTAGTTTTTACTATATGTTTAGAAATATCCACGTTAGTCTAAAGTTGCATCATTTTGCGAACTGTATCACAGGTAAGTTATTTAACAACTTAAAACTAATGTGGTGTTCTTGAAACATTGACATAAACAAAACATGAAAAGGTTGCTTCATACTTTATTAACATGACATAATGTTCCTCACTGTTTAGCCATAGTGAATTACAGAAGTTACATTTAAGTCAACACTGCACAATGACACTTTAACTCACCTTGACATGATGACCATTAACATATTTGGTGGAGTCTCTGTAAAGACGATACATGACTGCTCCTTGGGGATCTAAGTTGTTCACGAGCGGATCAGCATTCTACAATGTCAAGAATATATGCCTGATGTAGAATCTTAACAAAACCTTAATTGTAAATAACAGGGTAAAATATATAGATAGATTCCAATTGTTACCATAACTTAAGTAGGTAAAGACAGAACCTGCACCCATCTTTGTAGCCCATAAAACAATAGATTTAAATATCCCACGCTCCCTGTCATCGCATGAGCCATTAGAATAATCAGAGAATTACCTCCCTTCATATACTGAAACACTTCTCAAAAAACAAATTCCAGCAATTTTTTATCCATTTCATCTATCAACCAAAAGCAAAAGGAAAGCAAAAAGAGAGTCATTCATGATGAATTTTGTTTGCTTGCTCAGTTTATTGCCCCAAAAACAGCCATGGTCATTTTGAGGTAGCTAGTGGCTACCTCACTGAACAACCTTCGAGAGGCCCATTATATGCCATCCAGAGCGATTAGGATAGAGTGCCTCATCAAAGGACATCCAAATTATGGCACAGACATAACTGTTTCTCAAGAAAAACAAACATCCATGGATAGGGAGCAATGCCCCACACATGTGGGATCTTCACCTGAGGTAACAGAGGCCTGCTTTAACAACTGAGCTACTGTCACCCTCACGATAGAGAGACAGACATCTTAATTACTTACCCTCATGAAAGAGAGACAGGCATTTTGAATTCTTACCCTCATGATAGAGAGACAGACATCTTAATTTCTAATCCTCATGAAAGAGAGACAGATAACTTCATTTCTTACCCTCATGATAGAGAGACAGACATCTTAATTTCTAATCCTCATGAAAGAGAGACAGATAACTTCATTTCTAATCCTCATGATAGAAAGACAGACATCTTAATTTCTTACCCTCATGATAGAGAGACAGACATCTTAATTTCTAATCCTCATGATAGAGAGACAGACATCTTCATTTCTAATTATCATGAAAGAGAGACAGACATTTTGAATTCTTACCCTCATGATAGAGAGACAGACATCTTGATTTCTAATCCTCATGAAAGAGACAGACATCTTCATTTCTAACCCTCATGAAAGAGAGACAGACATTTTGAATTCTTACCCTCATGATAGAGAGACAGACATCTTGATCTCTAACCTTCATGATACAGAGGCAGACATTTTAAATTCTTACCCTCATGATAGAGAGACAGACATCTTGATTTCTATATCTAATATATCCTGCCACACTTAGTATTGAACTGCTCTATGTATGATTTAGAATTTGAAACTAATCTTACTCCTAGGCAATGTCAAACGAAACATTGGATTTATCTAACAATAAGCCCATGCCAGTTAATAAGCTCACAAGCATCTATTGCAATTTAAGTAGAAATGTAGAGAAGTGCTAGATTACTACCTTATACTAATGTCCTAACCCCTGATTCCAGTAGGCAGAAATGTGTGGACTCTCTGGGCTATTTGTAAGGAAAATACGCCAGTAATAGAGAAGGTCAGACAATCAGGCTTAAAAAATATAATTAGATAATTAGTAATGAAGTCCTTACCATTCCACCTTCTGATGTAAATATCACAACCTCAAACAGGGGTGGACAAACTTTGGAGAAAAAGTAATCGACACCTGGTCTCTTTTTAAAGCGCCAACCAGTCTCATACTGAAATATATTAAACATATTAATATGTTTCTGTCTGTAACATCAAATGAACTAGCAAGATATCATTATTCAAATAATTCTAGTGTAGAAACTTTAAGGTGGAAACTTGTTTCTAATTTCAGGATTTGATGTATGGGTGTAACATTAATACTTCAGAAATTTGAACTTTGATGTACATTTGCATGTTTGCAAATGCTAAATGTAATTAATCAATTTCATATTTTGATGAAGATGAAATGTTTAACAACAGCCTTTTCTGATAAACATGACATTTTGCCTGTAACAATTATACACACAATTCTAGTATTCTAAAGACATTGCAATGCTTTAGACATACTAGACGGAGTATCATTGGCATGTATAAAATTTGAGTTTCATTTTTCTTAATTTTTGTATTTGTAAAGCTTTTGATATGTACAATACTTTCCTGCTGGCTCTCAAGTGTTATTAAAGCAGTGTTGTCCATATCAGAATGTGTCTTTTATAGGAGACAATATTAATCAGTATTATATAATATTTAGAAAAATGTACAAAGAATGTGACAGATACATCTAAAATAAACTAGATACAGTAAGATATGAGGTTTCCCCTATCCTGCTTATCGTGCATATAAGAACAATTGTTTCCTGAATTTGTAGAAATTGTTGTGTGTGACCTTTGACCCTTGAACTTTGATCACTGATGACCTAGTTATGATAAAAGTTCAGAACATGATGCTATGATACTATGGGGTAAATATGAACCAAATCTGTTGAGGTGATCTTTACTCGGAATGGGACACAACTTGACATTACATGACATTACGAGACACAAATGACAGGATGTGATGCGAGGGATGAACATGGATAACACTATGTCCCATCATACAATGAGGGGAACATAAAAATCAAGCTGGTAATGGGGAGAAGTTGTAATTGTGATTCCTTGCTGTGGAGTTATGCTACGACATACATATACTTACATCACAAATAAAATACTTACATTAGAAGACAATTACTTACTGTCCATTCTGGATGGATAAGCACACCTGTGATTTCCATTACGAGTGTGTATGGGGGCTGATAATATGGCGGCTGCAGTGGTTCTGGTAAAAGTTGTTCTCTCGATGGATTTATATAGCGCTGGAAAAAATATTATTTCATAACTAGTGTACAGATAAAGGAGTATTGACAATGACTTTTCTTTGGATTTTTGTAGTACTGGTACAATGAAACAATCTTATTATCAAAATGATGGTCACACCTAATGCATTGCTTCACCCCTTCATGTGGTGCACAGATAGCATAACAAAATTTAATGGTTGAGGGGTGTAAACTTATCTATGATGAGCAAAAGATAATAAAATGTCAAAATGATTAAAGTCTGCAGGAGATTCCAGACAGTCTAACTCTCGGCAAAGCCTCGGGTTAGATGATCAAGAATCTCCTCCATGGGTAAAGATTTCTCTGTCCTACCCTCTAGCTAGGGAAAGATCCTATTAATCTCATCAGAGATAAATAAATGAAAACCACATTGTTGACCCAAAAAAAACAAAATCAAGCATGACTTGCAGTTTACTTCATTTATGCAGATTTACTTTAGAATGGTTTCTTCTTTTGACCCAAAGTATTTTCCCTTGTGTATAATACATGAAGAAAAAAATGGGATCTTCCTGGCTTCAGACTTTTTCCCTTATTAAGGAATCCATCCATCATTTCGATGCAGTACAATACATCTTGTTTACCTCAACACTGGTAAAATGTAGGAATTGCTATTTGACATTTGTAGCTTTTGTTTAGTTTTATAATTTGTTGCAATCCAGGAGGATTAGTTTGTGAAGAAAACTTCAACATCAGTCATAATTATAGTCTTTCAACATACTGCTGTACATTATTTCAATGATAATTCTAAAAGAAACTTTTTCAAAGTCAAAGTTGATGAAGTTCATAATCATAATGTTCATGTGTGTGAGAGCCCAAAATAGTTTTCCATACAGCTACCTAGGTATAAAAAAGCATATCTCACCTGTACAGCTCTTAAAAAGTTTCCATTCCACCCTGAAACCGAAACAAATTTTTGTAACTTTTTTTTCATCATATTGGAAGAAAATGAGATAATTGGTGTAATACTGAAATAAAATACAAGCAATTGGTACTTTGTATAAGATAAAAAGTGATTAAAAAAGGACATGATAAAAAAGGGTTTATCAAAAACAAATTTGATTTACATCCACACAAGGCACAGAGAAGTACCTGGTAGTTAGTATAATGTAATAATTATCTGCTTTATTTCTTTCTAAACTTGTCTATCACAGAAAATAAATCCAAACATTTGTTTGTTGTGAATTTCAAGGAATAAATGGTATTCAAATCATTTTCAGAGTTATCTCCCTTAAAATATCTTAACTTCACAATATCCACTTGGTCAACAAAGCCAAATTACAAGATTTGTACATCGGAACAGCCTCAACTAAGGCATGAAATGTATTATAACAAATTTCGTTTTTATCTGAAACAGAGCTTCTAAAACTAGTACAATAATGGAAAATATAAAAAAATTGTTGACTAGATTTTCAATCACACATGATTATCACATAGATCATGATTATCACATGGATCATGATTATCACATAGATCATGATTAACACATGGATCATGATTATCACATGGATCATGATTATCACATGGATAAGAATTATCACATGGATAAGGATTATCACATGGATCATGATTATCTATGATCATGATTATCACAAAGATCATGATTGTCACATGGATCATGATTAACTATGATCATGATTATCACAAAGATCATGATTGTCACATGGATCATGATTACCACATGGATCATGATTATCTATGATCATGATTATCACAAAGATCATGATTATCACATGGATCATGATTATCACATAGATCATGATTATCACATAGATCATGATTATCACATGGATAAGGATTATCACATGGATCATGATTATCTATGATCATGATTATCACAAAGATCATGATTGTCACATGGATCATGATTAACTATGATCATGATTATCACAAAGATCATGATTATCAGATGGATCATGATTATCACATGGATCATGATTATCACAAAGATCATGATTGTCACATGGATCATGATTATCACATAGATCATGATTATCACAAAGATCATGATTATCTGTGATTATGATAATGATTATCTATGATTATGATTATCACATGGATCTTGATTATCTTTGATCATAATTATCACATAGATCAGGATTATCACATGGATGAGGATTATCACATGGATTATCACATAGATCATGATTATCACATGGATCATGATTATCACATAGATCATGATTATCACATGGATCATCAGATATATGACTTTGTCACAATATCTTTAAATACACTTCAAACTTAAATGTTTCAAAGGAATATATCTTGTCCTAATTTAACTGAAAAAGAATGCAATACTTACTGTCAGTAAATTCATCATTAACCTACAACAGAAACGACATATTAATCTTAATTGTAAATTTATGCATTAGAGTTTGGACGTAGGCATCTGGAACTTACAATTTCTCACATTTTTTTTGTGATTTACCAATCAAATAGTTGAATTTATGCATACCCAGGGTTTTCCATAATTTTGTTAGCAGTAGGCTGTGTAGTGAAAGTAGGAGGCTGGCCTGCCATGTAAGTGTAGTTGTTTACGGAACATTATTACGGAACTGGATTGGTGTAGGCAGCCAAATGATCAAGGTAGCCAGTCAAGTTGGCCGGCGTCCGGCTCTTATGGAAAACCCTGCATACCTATATGAATTTAATCATTCCACACCACATGTATTTCCCATTCATATCTTCTAAATAAATATTTCTCTCCATTGATATTCACTAAAATTTCCTTTCTGTGAAGTGGAACGCAAATCACTTATCAAGCAATAGAAAGATTTACAGAAGTCTAATTTCAAATACACAGGTTTCTATAGTTGTGCCTTTCATTACTTTTTGTACTAGTGAAATACACGAAAATCTGATATCATCAATTTTCATTCAATGATAATGTCAGTATGTTTTTAGTTTTGGCCAGTTAGATCAATGATTTCTTCACAGTGCTTTTGTTAATTTTTTTCTGTTTGGGTGAAAGTTAGTTACACTGGTTTCACAAAACATCACTGTGTACTTAATATGTCTTTTAATGCATTCTACTTAAATTCATATTTCAATTCAACAATAAAATCATTTCTATCAGTGGTCAAAGAAAATACTAATGTTTTTCATGTGCTTTATTGGACACAGATTTCTTTAATATTGGATCAACCTTTCGATATCTTTCATTTTTTTTCCAAAAAGTAAAATACAATACCATATAACAGGCTAATTTTGAAAACCAAGAAATACAGAGTATTCAACAAAGAGACATTCCATATTGCCGAGCAACAGGTGGTACATTGTACATATATCAATATATATATATCATCATTTCTTATACAGTAATCATAACAATACTTACTATATCACCTGTTTCAGTTCTAGCAGGTTCACCTGTAAATAAAATTACAAACTTTAATTGCTTTTCATTGTCAGCAAGAAGTAATTACAGGCCAAATATCATTCTGTACATAACTTTAACAATCAATTTACATCTACCACTGTCACACCTCCTCTTAGTAATCTACTGTTAATAGTAAGTATAACCTGCAGTTTGGGTACATTTGCAAAATATACATAATGCCATTTCAACTGAGCTTTGAGTCAAAATAATAAAACTGAATCCAAATAAACAAAATGGAATTTGAATGCTACTTTTGAAATTCAAATATCCTTTTCTATCAATATGCAACTGTTTAAATTGAAATTAATTGTTTTGAACTTATACATATTTTAAAACAAATGAAAACTTGCATTCAAGATGAAAAATCATGTTTGTTTGTAAATGGAATTAATTTTTTTTCAAAAACTCCAAACTAATATTTTCATCGTACCTTTTTGAACTTCAATATGAAAATATGAATTACACAGTAAAAGGCTTGCTATATATCTTATCAGCGCAGACAAGTCTTAACTTGCCAGCAGTTCATTAAAATCACATCCCTAATGGATTTCACATGAACTATTACTGTGTGTCTAAAAAATTAAAATATGTAATTTTTAACATTCATCTTTATAAGTATCATTTACAACTAAAGTTTACTTGAACTTAAGGTTTTTAATATGTTTGGCAGCTGGGAAAGTAATGGTTACACTATAACAGATACTATTTCATTAATAACCACACAATATTGCAGATTGGTGTTGCTACATAGAAAAACACATATTTACATAAAATAACATGACAAAATTTGTCATGATAAAAACCACTCAAGTATGCAAAGTGAAAAAAAAATATGTTTTAACACAAACTTAAGTCATAATGAAGCAGAAAAACATGTAATACGACAAACTAAATTTTGTAATTATCTGAAATAAATGTGTTCAGTACAAAAAAAATCACAAGAAAAACAAATGTAGTAACATATAATTAATTTTGTAAAAATGTGAAAATACTTGTCATTGCATAATCCTTTAACACAAGCATGTAAAAGGTTTTCTTCACACTCTGTAATGGATCAGTCTGTACCATAAGCATCCATACAGAATGGTATGTGGCCTCTACTTGTTGGTATAAGTGTCATTTTACGATATATATCTAAGGTATGGTGATTCCACAACATTGTACTTGACAGATGGACTTTTCTAAATGTTGACATTCCATGACAATCTTTTTGATGTAAAAAAAAAAAACTTTTGGAGGTGTAAACTAAATTAACTTATGATTGTTAAATTGTGAAAATGCAATAGTTTAGTTGTTTAAATGTTGTTGTTGTCATCCTTCCATCATCTCAACTATGGATTAGCGCTCTGATAGCTGTTTAAATCAGTTGTTTAAATAACATACTGAAATTTTATTATTGAAAATATTGTTATGTTGAAAAAGAAATTATGTGTCACATTACAACTTCTTCCAGTCTGCCTACAGCGTTTGTCATCATTGTTACGAGGTTGTGTCATATCAATAACAAGTTACCGATCTTGATATGAAATTACAGCTAGTTGGATTTCTATATTCTTCTAAAGTTTCCATACCTACCAACATATATATGTAGATCTTTGTCATATATCTGTTGTATATTACAATCAATCTTGATACCTATGATTCAAAGATTATAGCCATCTGTTTCATTAATTCAGAGCAGGAAAAAGATATCCTTGACAAAAAGGCTGAATTTAAATACAGTAAGTTTTTATACATAATCAATAGTTTCACTTTGTGTTATTGTGTTTTTCACATGCTTACAAGTTTCAGTTCTGATGTGCTTTTTATATGTGTGATTTTAGGATTCATTCTGCATTATCACATTTTCCCCATTATTACACTTTTCAGGTTTCCTTATTTTCGGGTTGTTGTATGATATAGTTATCTCACTTTGCGATATTATTATAGGGTCATCACAGGTACAGAAGTTGGGACACGCTTACCGCAGTGACTTGCATATATACAACAGAGAGTAATCTCATGATTCCATTTATTAAACATTATTTCTAATTAGTTATGATACAAACGTCTCTGTGCAAACCCTAGTTGTGTTTGAAAAACATGACCTTACCCTGCACATGCATTAGATATGCTAAACTGCCCACTGTCAGAGAGGTCATTGTAACGGCAGCTACTCCTTTGAATGTTGAGGACTGATACCATTCCTTTTCCCCTGTTTTCTCTTCTTTCTTATCTGAACTTTCCTGTCCAGTAGACATTTCGTGTAATACAGAGTCAGTTTTGTGTCGCACCGACTTATAGTTCATATCTGATGCAATGTGTTTTTCTGTCACATAACTAACGTGTCTCGATCCAACGCCGGTTGACATGTATTTGCATAACGGAGTAGATTGCTTAACAGTTGAATTGAAGAATGATAGTCCTGTACATGGTTCTAATTTCGACACTGTGACGTATTCACGTATCAGCTTTCTAACAACAAACTTTGATTTCGAAATAGAACGCATGCCAGAACACATGTAGGCTGCCATCTTCTTTGTGTATAAATTTAGATGTAAGCGTCCGGACCGGAAATAGTCATGTAGGCCTCGTACAATAAGGAAAAAAATTAAATCTTTCTCATTTCAGTAATAAAACATAATATAATTGACTGCAGAGCTATTCTTTTGTTGTTTTTGTGGTATTTTAATTGTACCAATTAGATATTAGATTCAACGAAAAGATTCAATGATCTGGGTGAAATTTATCTATCATTTTTCTGAAACATGGTTTATGAAATATGAAAAAAAAACATTTGCCAAAATAAAATACTACGGTACGCATGTATGATATGTTGGGCTCTGATCAATATCCACAACTCTTATAGTTGTTTTATTTTCACTAAAATTATTTCGACACCATCCCTGATGATCCATATGGATTGAAAATCACAAGGTCTTCAATGTACATGATGTGATCACATTAAGTCTAATCTAAACCGGAACAAACTGTCATTTTATTGACACCATTCAGAATCTGACAGGTTTTCCTCATGTAGTTCTTCAATTCCTACTCATTGAATGATTTTAAATTTTCATTATTTGGTTTTTATAGTCATATTTAGTCATTGCAGTTGGTATTTACAGGAATGGAGGACTGAAGACATATCATATGTACTACAATGGGGCTTCAGTCCTGATTTCTTTTTTCATTTTTTTTTTAATTTCCCAGAGATACCCCATTGAAAATGGATAACCTAGTTTTCCAGAAAAGATTTTTCACAAATCTTACCCCTGTGACTTTGAATTTATTTGTGAGAAACATGTAGCACTCCATGCGAGATACCAGTGATTGCTAATTATCCAGGCTCAGATTCTTCTAAAACTTAAGATTATTCTAAAAAAGCCTAACACTTTGATCCATATGACCTTGAAAATCAGTCAAGGTCATTTAAATGAAAAAGGATTGTAGTACCTCATCACAAGTACCTACTGATCAAATGAGAAGAACACAGGTTCTAAAAAAGGTTTAACGTATTTGACTTCTGTGACCTCAGAAATAATTCAGGGTAATTTGTATAAAAATAATTCATAGTATTGCATTGTACGTACCTGCTAGCAGACAATCAGGACTCTTAAACCTGTAAAGAAGTTTCTGATATGGTTTAATCATATTTTATATCTGTAATCTTAAAAACAGGAGAAGGTCATTTATATAGGGAAACATTGCAGCATCCCATTCCAAGCAAATACAGTCCAAATATCTGTATTCTGTGTCTTCTGGTATTTAAGAACATTCTCAAAATACCTTTTACATATTTGTCATTCAGAACTGGAAATTTGGTAGCACTCTATCCTGTATACCTACTGGCCAACTTATTAGGATCCTGAGTTTTCAGGAACTTTGAAAAGAAATATCTCGCAAGTTTTGTTTGACTCCACTTACCTAGAAAATAAAATAAAGGTCTTCATTCTTATGAGGAACATTATTTGTTATCCAACCCAGGTCACACAAATATCTCCTGGCCAAATATCAGTACCAAGTTGCTGTAGGTTTTCTCGAAGAAGTTAAAAATTGACAGACTGATGGATAAGCAATGGACAACAGATCCATCACCTACAAGTACAATGGGACATTGTGCCATTTGAGGATAACAGAATGGACAGCATATCATGTAGATATTACCTTGTCACCTCCAACTGTCAGGAAATTATATATACATGTATATCACTTGTTGAAAACTTTATTTGACCTTTGATGTTTTGACATTGATTATGACTATTAAAATCTTAATGTTCTGTTACTATGGTGACAAAATTTTGCACACAAATATTTATAAGTGAAATCAATTTTATATTTCTTTTCTTTTTCAGAACCAAAAATGTTTCACTTTTAACCTTTCATCCCTCATGTTGTAACTAACTTATGTCTAAAATCATGTCTTGATCAAAATCAGCTCTTCAGAAATGTGTACTCAAACTGTTGGCATTTAATTCCCTTCTCCCAAGGATATTTTTGACAAAATATGGTCTTCTTTCTGGAAGGAGGTCTTTCACAGACCAAATTTAGACAAAATCCTGCCATACTACATCTGAAAAAGGATTTTGACAACTTGTGCTATATTCCCCTAATGTGCCCTTGGAGGCCCATATCCACCATTTGCACACAGTTTTTTCCCCTTCCGAAAAGGTTACTTCTGACCAAATTTGGTCAAATTACCTACATTCTGAATGGAGAAGAAACATCTCAAAGCTGTACCTTTGTTTACCCTACTGGGTCCTGCCTGCCCCTTTGCTCCCATGAGGCAGTCAAGTCCACCATCCAAGAATCCTATCGTTTCTACAAAAGAAATTTATGCTGTTCACTAAATTTCCACTATTGGACACCACCCAGACCCAGACACCTTCACTCAATAATGCTTTAAACCAAATTTTGACAAAATCCTTTCCTTTCTAGAAAAAAAATTTGCTACCTTTCCTTTCCAGTATTTGGTCCTACCCCTAAGGCTCTCAGGGCCAAGACCCACTGTTTATACAAATCTGGTTCACCTTACCCTTAAGAAGCTTCAGATTGGTCAAAATACCTTCATCTATTTTAAAAGATTTTTAAAGCTTTGCCAGGTACATCTTTTTCCCCTCTTTGCTCCTTGGGAGGTCAGCGACCCACACCTCCTCTCCCCAACATCCTCCAACACCTTTATGCAATATCCAAAATTGAGTTCCCTTCACTCAAGAATGCATTACACAAGATTTGGACAACATTCTTTCATCTATACAAATGAATGAAGAGGGTTTTTAAACAATTTGTTACATTTCCTGCATTGAGCCCCACCTCTGAGTCTCTGAGATCCAAGACCAATCGGTTATACTAAAGCAGTTCAAACTTTCCCTGGAGATGCCTCTGACCCATTTAGGTCCAAATCAACTCTGTAGCTCATGCTCAATATCTATTAATATGTGAGTGAACAGAGGGATGGACAGATGGATGTTGTCAGCTAACTTGGCTCTTTCAGCCAGCTAATTTAAATAAAAAAGAGAGAAACTACTTTTTTTCTTAATTTTTTTTTAATTAATTTTGCTGGTATCAAAAGATTTTACAGTAGATTTGCTATAAAGATAGCACACATTCAGTGACTGATCACCAGAGGTACACTGAGTGTGCATAGGTTACAACAGCAATACATTCACAAACATACACACTAAGAGGTATGCTCAAAAACGTTGACAAAATCATGTATACTGGGGTTGTGTCCACATAATTGTACCATTCCAGACCATATTGAGTGAAAACAATTGTCAAATGATTTGTGGGTAATGATCACAATTAATTGTGTTTGTGTCAGATTACAATCACATATATTTTAAAATTCAGAAATAACCATTAAATTTTTTTCAGATAATTTTTTTTTTTTTCATCAATGCAAATGCTAATTTTGTGCCAACAAAAATCACACATGCTGACTTTGTGTCCACAAAGCTCATCCATGTGGAATTTGATTCCATCTAGATCACAAATGTGGAATTTGTGTTTAAAAAGAAAGACATATCACACATGCTTAATTTGTGTCTACGAAAAACACACATGATCCCATGTTATCCATAAAAATTGTGTCCAAGAAGGTTATGGTATACATTCAAGAAGGTTATGGTATACATTCCTGTTTACACTTCAAGAGTGAACAAGAGCAAAAATTTTAAAGCTTTTGACACTTGTGAAAAACACTGTACAACAGAAAGTTACATATTGTTTCATGAAAACTTTCAAGTAAATGTACATCAATCTTTCAAATCCAATATTTCAAAAAAACTGACAGGACCATATAAAAAACAAACAGATAAATAGACAAAAAAAGGACAATATTAATCAAATGCATTTCAATATATTCTGTCTTTGGAATTCTGAAGATTGAATTGTTTTGGATCTTGATAATTTGTAAAATGCACTGTAGTGTTATGTACAGTACTGCAATGTATTCTGGGATTGCTACTTTTAAAAGGAATTGTGATCCCACAGTGTTGTAGAACAATCATGTTAGGTTGAAGGCACTTTCATCCTGATTACATAATACTATATAATTTCCTCAACAGAATGAAAAATTGCTTCTGTCATATACACTAAAATGAATAAATAAATGAATAAATAAATAAATAAATAAATAAAAAAAAAAAAAAAAGACGATCTCAAGTGTCATATTGTGGTAAGTATTACACAATGTACAATTGTATCGACAATACTGAACAACTAAATGTAAATATTGTAGTCTTATATAAGTTGTTACTGCAAAAGCATTTATTTTTTGAGGGGATTTTATTTTCATGAAAACTGTGGTATATCTTAAACCATGAATTCATCTGTTAACAAAACTGATAAACAGATACAAATTGTCATGAATTTCAGTAACATTGGATTTTCTTGATTAAAATTCACAAAAACAAATGCCAATGAAAGTGCATTTTTTTATGACAAATATCAAATTTGAGCCCCATGAAAATATATAATATTTTGCTGTATATAATATTCAGTACATTCTGTTTTTTGCAAAAATACTGATTAATTGACCATATGGTTTACAAACTGTAAAGGTAAAAAAAAAAAAAGTAAAAAAATCAATTTATGAATTAAAATTTCCATTGGGAAAAAATACTATAAAGCTATGGGAAGGAGGGCAAGTGAAAGACATTGTCCTAAGAGTAGTAACAGTTTGTAAAGTCATATCAAAACAAAAAATTCGAAATCTGAGTTTCCAATTTTAGAATTGTATCTAAGTTGCTATACCATATTGCCTGAAATGTGCCCAATGAATTACAATATATTTATATAGCTTATCACACATGATGATCATGTACAAAACAGGACACAAAAATGAAGTTACAAAGACATGTCAATTTTTCAGAATATAGCTACAAATGGAAACAAAAATATTTACAATGTATAATACATAGAAAAGTAGTTTTAATAAAATGCTGCTAGATATACAGTTCACAAATTGCTGTGCTTAGATTTAACCAATCAATGCCATAATATTCACTAGTTGCTTCGC